GCTATTTTTAATTTAATCTCAAGGATTGATTTTAGCCGCTTTTTAGATTTGTAGTTCATTTTTTTGTCTGCAGCTTATGGTGTTCAGCTATTTGTGGAAATTTAAGATAGCTGACCAAATCCGAAGATGAAGTTCTTTTGCGAATTCGATTGTATGAGGAGAGCGCTCTATGCTATCAACTTTTTGTATATTGTAAGTATTTGAATTCAGTTATTTGTCACTTTGTTCTGTTGTTAGAATCTTTGTTGCTAGAAAAATTGAAAGAGGACTGTTCACATTTGGATAGGGGCAAGATTAAATTTGCTGCGAAGGAAGATACGTTACTGTCGATGCAATGAGGTGTATAGGATTTATTTTCTGTAAAAAATTTGTGAAATGATTTTATTGCTGCAATGTGTCTGCTGATGTCGAAGGTTCATTTCAGGTAATTGGTGTTTTATTGATATCACTTGCTGCTTACATCAGAAATGCATCTATTGTAACAAGCCATTCGCTGATTGGGGGAATTATCACAGTCGGCGTCTTTCTAACTTTGGTCAGCTTTTTGGGAATTTATGGTACTATGAAGCATCATCAGGTTCTTCTCTTCTTTGTAAGTTTTTTATTTTTTGTAAATCATTCTGGAGAGGGTTTGTGGGATTGTTCAAATAAATAGTAATTGTACAACTTGAAACTGATTTAGTTACACTTAACCTTATTTTGAGATGAAGCATTATGTGCATTTGAATTCCAAAAGTCGAGGCTATTATAATTTGTAAGCGAATTAAATTTTTAGTATATGGTAATACTTTTTTGCGTTTTTGTGGTACAGTTGGGAGTTGCGGTTGCTTGCCTTGGGCTTATGAGCCCTGCTGGTGTAGAAGCTGTTGTCACCAAAGGTCTAATTTCTATAACTTCCACCACTTTTTCCTTTCTTTTTTTACGAGTCTTATTTCGCTTACTTGTGCAGTTCTCTTGTTTACATTTTGCTGTGGTTACTGTACTCAGATTTTTACGTCGTTCATTTACATCGTAATTGTATAGAACACCTTTAGGATGGCAAGGTTCTTCGGATTCTACAATCAAGGATGCGCAGAAAGATTTTAACTGTTGTGGGCTACGGAATAATAGTGAAGGAATTAACTGCGATAAGGTGATTTACTGCTTATATTAGTTTACAGTAAGAACGTGTGGAGATTTAGAAAAGAAGGAAAGATTTCAACATTTTTCAATTTTGCATATGATGAGGTTGTGAAAGTAAAGTTTTTAGCTGAACTGCTATCCTAGTTGTCCTTCATGCCTCAGCATAATTACTCAGAAGATGTACGAGGAACTCACCCGTGTCGGAGGATTTGGACTTTTTTTCAGCTTTTTAGATGTAACTTTTAGTTATTTTGACTCAAATTTGTTGGAAAGTTACGAAATCTACATTTCGGATTATTGTTTTTTTTTTCTGTTTGTTTTTTTAGTTATTTGAAGAAAGAAAGCATAGAATGATCATTTTTTCACTACCGCTTTTTAAAGTGATCTGTATTTTCCTTGCTGTAATTTCTATTTTTTCAGTTGGCGGGCATTGCTTTTGCAATGCGCTATCGGAATCTCCGGGATCCAAAATTGGACCCCGTTCTTTATTTTCAACAGCAGCAATAAAACTTGGTCGCTTTTAAAGACTTGTATGTGGTTTAAAATAATTTCACAGTTTTTAAATATAGTTTTCTAATGTAAGTATCCTAATCCAGTTTTTTGTTCCGGATTGGCTTTTATTATGTTCGTTTCAGCGAATACTCGTACGGGTGCTTCTTCCACAGGGGTTCTTCTTCAAGCTACAGTTATTCTTTTTATGGTTTTGTATTTGGAGAACTGTAAAGTGTGGTGCAACGTCTAGCTTAATTTTAACTTTTGGAAACTTTTGTACGTCTTTGCAAGCATATGCATTATTAAATTGTTTAATTCATGGTTGCTTGAGGGAAAGAAACTGATCTTGTTTCAGTTGTATGTTAATTTGTGTCTGGTAATTTGCTGATGGTTAAGCTTTGAAAGTTATTAGAAACTTCTTTATCTTGATTAGAAACTAATAAAAAGGTGGTTAAAAATCTGTTCGGAATTTTTTGAAGGATTTCCAACATTTGGGTCTGTATACATTGATGATGGCAATTAGGTGGATTTTAGAAAAAACAGCAGCAACCTTGACTCGTTCAGTTTGGATAGTGTAGGAGTGAGAAGTTTTTGTTTTTCAGATTTTGTAGAAGAATGTTTTCAGCTTGGTGACGAGATGGACCGAGCTGCAATAGTTTATGGGTGATTAGAATTTGTTGGGAATATGTGTTAAGATTATTCAGTTTTTTTAGCTTGAGGAAAAACCCATGGAATTGTTATCTAGTCGACTGTTGAGTTGTGGCGTAGTGTCATTAGATGATGGAGAGTGATATCTGACAGTGAAGTTGTTGCGTCGGTATCACGACGTTTAAGAAAGTAAACGGTGAGGGGTCCTGTAGAGCAGCGAGTTGTGAGTCATTTTGGATATCTTGGAAGTTCTTCCCATTTCTGTTTGTTGGGGTACATTCATGCTTTTTAGCACCGTAATAGTGCGCCTAAAATGATTGTTGGTGGATTGACCGTTATATTTTCCCTATCTGTAAAATCATCAATAAATTTATGAGTGGGAAGAAGTGCAAGTGAGCCATCTATTGTTAAGCATTTGCGAACAGTGCGTGTTAAGTACTGGTGAGAATTATTTAGCTCGTGCTTAAATTAAATAAAGTGAAAGGTTCTCAAACAATCATCAGTTAACGAATGGTGTTTTTCACTATTACTGATCGTCAGGTACGGGAGTGTTTTAGAAAAGAGTGTCAAACTGCCTAAATTTGGAGGAGAACCGGTGGGTATTTGGTGGTCAAAGTTCTATCAAATCTGTTATATTTAATGTGGTGAGAGGAGGTCGGTAGCTGGTTGCAAAAATGACGACTGACATTAAGTTCACCTTGGTTGATGTCAGAAGTCGTCTCTTTGCCTTTAAAAGCCTGAATATTATTTTTTGACGTACTGTTGAGTCACTTTTAATAGGTAAGTCTTGTTCATTTAGCTTTATTGGCATTTTGATTTGGCATCAAATTTTAACACAATTTGTCATTCGGTAATGCAGTAGGGAAGACAGAAATATTTGTTCAGAAGGAAACATTGATTTTTGGAACTTATTATAAGTTTCTGTTGTTGGCACAGTTTGTATAAACATGATAGTGTGTAAAAAGAATTAAAGAACAATTGGAACACAGCTGGTTATATACGTTTTTTGCTTTTTACAGGTATGCGTCATAAAATGATGCTAAACAAGACTGGAACGTCTGAGAACTATTATTTGTTCATTGACGGGTCAAACTTCCAAATTTAAAACGATGATTCTTTGTTCCTTTTGACGTAGAGTACCAGATAGCTCCACGGAGTTATCGTTGGATTTGATTGCACTTATTACTAATCTATGAGACACGTCGTATAAGCCGAAAACCTAGTGTTTACTTCTGCATTCTTGAATGGGTTTTCACTAATTAAAATTTTCTTTTTTAAGAGAGAAGTTTGTAGGAAGAAGAAGTTGAGACAAACACTGGGAAGGTAAAAATAATTTGTACAAGCCGTTCAGTATTATGAATACTAAATGCTTTTTCAGTAATGCTTCAGAAGAAGTTGAATCCATCTGTAAAAAATGGGTGTTATAGGCAGGAAAAACTAATAGGTTGTTGAAACTGTACATTGGTACTTTTTCGCTTGATACAGCACTTTTACTGAACGGTCTGCTAGCGTACATCTAGAAAACTAGGAAATTATTCTCTGCGCTTCGATTTTGTTCGGGCTTTCTGAGCGTTAAATTTTTTAAAGCTCTTGTAAGGGTGCTATATAAATTACCAGCAGCAGTAGCTAGCCATCGGATATCAATAATACTCCCTTACTGCTGGTAGGCAAATTTTTTGATTAGGGATTTTCTAATATCACGAGTACGATAATGTATCAATGTATTCCGTGTTTTTCTGCATTCATGATTTGTTTTTCGAAACAGGTTTTGGAGTTTCCCGTTTTTGGTATTGATACTGTTAGGTCTGCAAAATTCTTAGCTAAAGTGTTACTGTGTGTGAAATTACAGGTTTTATACAAGCCGCTTCTTCTAGTGTACTAGTTCGATATGTAGCTTCGATAGCTGTTTTCTGATATATATGTATATATCTACATCTATATATAGATTTTTAAATCCCCTAAGTGTTGCATTCGTCATCCATAATCAGCCCTGGGTGGATACACTGTAATCGATGATAGTTTCAGATAAGGTTTTTGTCGTCTAATTTGTAAGTCTGTCAGCTACTTGAGTTTTATAAACTTCTCAACTTTTAGTTATGTTAGCGAAAATACTACATAACTCTTTCCGCATTTATGCTTCCGGGTCTCAATTAAACCGACAAGTCATTGGCACTACTGTATATTTTTTTTCGTCTGATGCAGGATCAAGTAATTCATCAGGCAGTAAATCAGAAAAAATTTATGGTTAGTTGCACAATAAGATATCTGGTTTTTGAAACACCCTGAGACTTTCATATGTAAAATGCTTTGTTTTGGACTTAGTCGTATGATTTGTCCATTCTTCTGATCATGCAACAGTTTTTTTCAGGAAATTTTGCAGCTAATACTTATTTTCAGACTTATCTTCTAAGTTAAAGCAAGGGAACGGCGTAACGGGACAGGAAATAGGGATAAAAGATCCTTCCTCAAAGGGGAAAAGTGGTTTGGATAAAGTACCCTTAGCGAAGAATTTGTCTGTTGACGTAACACTGAAATCAGGTGCTGCAGCCAAATTACCACTGGCAAAGGAGATATCAGCCGACGTCACATTACAGACAGGAGAATCAGCTAAGTCATCGATAACAGAAGGTGACCCAGCCAAAATATCTGTAGCGAAAAAAGCTTTGGATGATGTAACTTTGCAGACAGAAACCCCAGCTAAGTTGCCGGTAGCAAAGGCTGATTCAACCAATGTAACTTTATCTGTAAGTGCTCCAGCTAAAATTTCGACAGCAAGGGAAAATTCTGGCGATGTCGCTTTGCAGGAAGATGACCCAGCTAAATCATCTGTAGCTGAGGAAACTTCGAATAATGTGACTTTGCAAAAAGAAGCCCCAGCTAAGTTATCGGTAGGGAAAGAAGCTTTAGAAAATATGACTTCAGCAAGACATGCTCCAGAGGACTCGTCAGGCACAGGAAGTTTAAAAGAAAGTTCTTCAAACGCTGTTAAAATCATCGGGGAGCCTTTGTATACTGCTGTCAAAGATGTCGCTAAAGAGCTGTACAAAGGTGACAGTGAGGGCAGGAAAAGGTGCTGATGAATGACTTTCAAACATTAGGTCTTAATTTTATTAACTGTTTTTTTTAATCGTTATTACTAGTCAATTTTTAGGGCACAAAAGGAGCTGATTGAAAAATTAGCTGAATACGAAAAAGAGACGTTTGATACAGCAACTGCAAGTCATACTAGTGAAATGCTTTCAGACAAGGTTATAGTCGAAATTCTGGCTAATGTCAGTGCTATGAAGCCTAAGCCAGTTTCACGGTTGGTTACTTCAGCTTACTGCTTTGCTCAGTTTAGTAGCGCTTAGAAATCTCATCCGTTATTAAGAGATATCTTCTTGTTTTTGAGATATCTTTATGGTTCACTTTGCGACTATCTTTGGTCTTTGTAGTTTTTTTTCAAATCATTTCCGGTTTCATCGAGAATGTTTTTCTTCCTAGGGCGGCGGAGATAAGACATGCGCGTCGTGGCTTAGTCCATCTGAGAAGAGAAATTTTTTATCAAGCTCAACAGGTTAACAGTGATTTTTTATTGCTGCATCTAAATTTTGCATGAAGTAACAATATGAATTTACGCTCTTCTTTTTTATTTAATTTGTTTTGCTCTTATTCTGAAGCATCTAAAATTTACTTCCAAGGTTTAGACTGGTTATTCTGCTGAAGAGGCTCGCAAAATAGCTCAAAATGCTGTAGACATTGCTACAACTCGAGCCATTGCTAGAAGCGAAAAATTGTCAGCTGAACGGCGTGAGGAACTACAACGAGAAGATGCGGAACTTGAAAAAAAAAATGAGAAAGAAAAAAGGCTGTTTGCCTACGCTTCTCAAATGATTGAGTTAGTCTGTTTTAGAAGAATAATAAGACAGAAAGTAAATCCTAAGTTGCAGTTGTTTTAACTTTAACTGACACTTTGAGAACTGCTGGAACGTCGGGAGTGGGATTTGTTGTAATGCCATGTAAAGGTTTTTAGGGAACTGAGATTAAACAGATTTGAATGCCTCTTTCAGTTCATTGTTGTTCATTGATTTTTATTTTCCTGTCCTCTTCTTTAAGGAGGATGCTTTTATCTGGAACGGGGGAGCCAGATGGGAATTATTTTTCTGCCGATACAGTAGAACCCTACTACTTTGCTGACACTTTATTCAAGGACGACGGTCCCGATCTTGGAATTTTTGAGAAGAAAAGTCTGTCTACTTTTCGGAAAAATAATCTGAAGTTTTGGCGTGATTTAGATGAAGATGCAGCGAGGTAAATAAAGTTTTAGTCTTTCTCTGTCTCAAAACTAATTGCTTTAGTAGTAAACTGTTTTAATTGCCAATTGTTTCTTACTGCTTTCAAAAAAATTAAGTGTGAATATACTTTTTGTCAAGATTTCACAGGAAGGATGTGGAACTATAAAAACAGTGTTTAAAACTCCAATTACTTAATTTTTCGCAAAACTTTTCGTCTGAAGGTGTTTGGTAGGACACTTTTGGTTGATATTTTCTAAGTGTAAATTATATATCTCATGAAACTTAGTGACGTGCAGGTTTTTTGTTGCATTTTCTTCCATCTAGGATATGGAATCAGTTGTTTGGTCCGAAGAATGGATTTGAGGAACTAATCGAGTGGACAAAGAAGGGGAAGATGTGGCCTTATCCAATAAATAACGAGTATCTTTTAGGGGGGGAAGAAAATGTTAGCGTAATTTTCATGTCTTTTTCAAGAAGCTTATGCTATTTTACAAAGCGGTTTGCACCTTTGGTTTAATTAGCAAAAGAAGAATTCACTCTTAATTCATCTAGGATTCGGTCTTGATTTAGGTTGCGTTTCATGAGCATATTTTCCTGGATAAGGAGTTGGAGCACTATAAATTACCGAAGACGGGTCCAATAGCCCATTTTATGGAACTTGTTTGTGTTGGCCTTTCAAAGAATCCTTATATGACTGTAGGCAAGAAACGAGATCATCTGAAATGGTTTGTTAAATATTTTGACAACAAAAGATTTGCATCTTCAGCCTTCTTTTTCTTTCTACCGTTCTTGATTACTGTGATATTAAGGTTTGCCAACTTTTTTGACAACAAAAGGATTGAAGAAATTCGTCAGCTTGAAAAAGCAGAGCGGGAATTATAAGATATTTAAACAGTTTTTCCAGTACTCGACAATTCTACAGCTCGAAGGCGCACTTTCCCTTATATTACCAAAAAAATTGCCTATGAAATCAAGAGCAGTCGGTTGCGCATCTTTGGAAGTTTTCTTGTCTGTAGTTAATCGCTCTGGTCTAAACATTTCTTCTGTAAAGTCGATTGTAGACTTGTTGCATTTGTTATATGTTTGAAGTAAGGAATGATTATTTGGCTTTTAGCCAGTCCACTCTGAAACAGGTTTCACTGGTTAAAGTAATAGTCTTGAACAGATTTTAAATACGAAATGTTTGCCTGTGCAGTAACCTGGGTAAATTTCAGTTCATTTTTTAGATCTTTTGCGACTTAGAATTCATTGCATTATTGTCGAGTTTACTTGAAGAGGTTTAGTTTGTTCCTGTTTGGTTTGAATATTCACAAAACTAGCATTTTCCTCACCTTTCTCTTCTTCTGTTTCCTTTCTTCAGCGTGGTTTTCTTTACAGAGTGTGATCCTTACATCTGGAGTATTGTTGTTTAGGTTTAGTATTCGTTAGTAAATGCATAGCACTGTGATATTGAAGAAATTTTTCTCAA